AAATATTTTAATAGCTGTGACTTACCTCTCGACGTTTAATCGGAAGAGAGGTCAATTCTAATTTATTTTATTATTTAAAAGAGATTGGCTTTTAGTTACCAAATGTAATTTGTTTTGAAGACTGTGTCTTGAATTTAATATGTGCTTTAAACTTGTGTTTATATGACTTCATCCTCTGGATTTGGTACATTTATCTACTTGTTTTTATTTATTGAATTTTAATGTCATCAATTGTAATCATCTCATCTTTTGTTTGGCGCGTCATAATCATCTCTGGTTTTTGCGCCATAATCACTCACTCACTCACTCACTCACTACATACTCTAAAATTCAGTTCAACTGCAATATCGCAAATTAATTTTTAAATGAGCATATCTTTAGAATTTCCAATCTCGCGTGCTGGAGACAACCCCCCGCGCAGTGTTTTTTTTTTTTTTTTTTTTTCCCGTGTAGTTAAAATTAGGGCTTCCACATGCCCATAGTCTTTGGAAGATTACTTTATTCAAATTTTGATGGCTTTAGGTACCGTTGTTTTATCACAATGCCAGAAACATACATACATTTATGCAGGTTCTGCATTATTTAATTTCTTTAAATATAAGACAGGGCGATAATATTCGGTGGCAACGATTTGAATAGTGATACAGCCTTTTAAGTTTTCAACGCAGAATACCAAAACGAAAAGAATAGTCCTTCAAGGCAAATTGCCACTTTGGAGTAATAAAAAAATTTACGGAGAAAATCCCCAGGGTTAAGGCAAAATATATTTCGATGGTAAAATGAAATCTCTACGAAGAAGGAAGTGGAGAAAATTCATTTGCAGTTCGGATGCGTTGGTGTTTGAAGCTTCTTTTGACTACTTAGGCTTCGAGTGTGAACTTTAACCTCCAACAATCAGATCGTCTGAAAATCCGTCTTAGGAAGTTCCAAATAAAGCAGCATGATGTTTATTTAATAATCGGGGCCGCTTTGGTCGATATCTTGACAAGGCAGCAAACTTAGTTTTCAAATAACAGTTTCGTTTTCTTTTTGATCGCTGCAACACGTACTGGGTTATAATTTAATATTTTTTTAATTTTAGGAAATCAGCCTACGATTCTTTACATATTCTCTACCAAAAAACTTTTAAATCGTTTATAATAAATGGACATGGGAGATAAATTAGCAGTAGACGCCGCTAAATGTGATCGCGGATAATGGTATCGTTCGGATGTTGTTATGCAACTGCCGAAGTCTTGGCCGTTTCCGGAAACGTAAAATACATCGCTTATTGGGATTAGCAAGTCGGTTAATATAATCAAAATACCATAGGATAAATTTTTCAAACTAAAGTGGCCGAATAAGCTCAAAATTGATTATGCAAACTGTCAAGAAATGTCGCCAAGTAAGAAGATAAGTCGCCGAGCAGGAAAGTTTCAATTTTAGTGAATCAATAAATATTTATAAAAAACTTTGTTTGACGAAGATTTTCCATACTTGCATCGATTTTGAAGGAGATCAAACACTTCCTCTTTTTCAGGAGGGGGGGGGGATACAGTATTTTTAGTGGAAAGGGAGTTTGTTCCTGAAGGACCATTGTTTTCGTCTTGCGATTTTGCGTCGAATCACTATAAACGGCGTATCACTTTTCGAATTGTTGCCACGAAATGTTAGAGTTCTGCATTATATTTGAAGAAATTAAAAAATGAAGAATCTGCATAAATGTATGCATGTTTCTCGCATTGTTATAAAACAACGGTACTTAGAGCCATCCAATTTTGAATGACGTGATACTACTGCGAATATGGGCATCTGGAAGCCCAAATTTGAAATTTGGAATTTGTTTTATGATTCATTTCGTATTTTGTAAAACGTTAACGAATTCTAATTAACAAAATGAAGGATTTCAAAGCCAGCCATGCCAACGTTGTTCAGAAAAAACATTTTTATTTCCACTAAAACTAGGTTCAATTTAAAATTATTTTGCGATAATGCTGTCGAACTGAATTTCATCGTTTAAGTGGGAGAGCATGATATTTAATAAATAAAGGTAAGGCACAAAATGTTAAAAAACGCCCCTTTGGACGTAATTTAAAATCTGAAACGTTTCAGATTTTCTTTATATATATATTTATCGTTTTATCCAGCTTAAAATTCGTTACCCAGGCTTTATTTTCGCAGTCGTCAGTCGTAGTTATACACTTCCAATTACAAAAGTGTTTTAAATGGCGAAAATATTCATGTTTTAGAATATCAAAAAAGAAAAATTGACAGATAACGAAATCAGACTTTGAATGCTGTCCCCAAGTTCTTATACTTAATAGATATACTCACTATAAAAAATAAAATTATAAGAAGTTTGATTCCTGCGTGACAGAAAATTGGCCGGGGTATTTAATTTTAAAATTTGCAATTTTTGGTGTCATTTTCAACTTGCCTTACTGGTCGGTTAATTTAGTACAGTTCGGGGAAATAAGTGTAAATAAAATGCAGCCAAAAGTGCGTATAATTTAATAGGTCGTAAGGAAATCATGTTGTGTCCACATCAGATTTTTTTTACATTTCATTCCAGCCTTATATCTGAAATTTCACGATTAAATATTGAATTCATTCAAATATTTACACAATAAACATTAGTACATGTATCAGACTTAGATTTCCACAGGAGATGCTCAAAATGGTGACTGCACAGTGGTCACATATTGAACGCGGCATGGAGAGATACGTAACTCTCTTTCTACAGCAAGTGAGGATCAGTATGCCAGCTCCTTCAGATCCCCCCATAAAAATAAATTCAAAAGTGTAAGGTATGGCTATCATAATCACAAAACTCGATCTTCTGACAGAGTTTTCAAGGAATCACGCATATAGGCGAGCTGAAATGTGTCAGTCCTCCATCATGCTGGAACCGCGGGCCGCGTATTGCCGGTAAAATTATGTCATTGAGGATTAAACGTATCAAGGAGAAATGCCAATTAATATAAAGACCGATGAACCATAGAAGCAGAGACCGCCAGCGGACGAGCGGTAAAATCACTGAACACTGGTAGCTCTGATCTGGATTTGATTCCAGGCGAACGGGTTGGCTGCATGGGCGTTTTCGTGTTTTTCCCCATGTGTAACGTCTGTACCAGCCAATTTCCATAGAAAGTCCTCCAGGAAGGCATCCCGCCCCTTACGCAGAGAACGCTTGTGTGCTTTTCCATAATCAGCTAAAAAAAAACCGCAGAAACAGCAGATGTAATCTAATGATAGAATTGATTACGGTGATTCATATAGTTACAGACCGGCCATTCTGAATCTGATGCCTGTCCAACCGGATTGCATGTGCATTGTATTGTTACGTTCTCTGGTTTCGTGGACTTCGAGTGATTGATAACAACATTTGATGAAAAATCAAAACACTATTTATTCGTCAGTATTACTCAAGACAGTTCCAAAAACACGTTTGCAGTCATCGAAAAACACGCTGAAACAATCAGCAGCACAGCCTTCAGGCCATAACGATGAAGACAGCTTTACAGCAAAGCACAAAATACAGCTCCCGATTCGGTTCGGTGGCCCTCAAGCTAATCTCTGAATTCAAAACACTCCTACTGAACTTAACATACTCTTCTCCTACGCGTACAGACAAGGTACATATAGTTTTTGACCTGCTTTCGAGAACATTATCGGGAAAACCGGTAAGAATTCGTTGTAGAATATTCTCGCACCGTCTATGTGCCAATTTTATGGCAAATTATTTATGGTAAATTAGCGATTTTGCGCCAAAACTGGCTACGCCTCCTTTCCCTACCACTTTCTAGCAACCCTAAACCCGCTTCTCGGGGAAGCTATGTTATCGCAGCTGGGCATTTCGTAAAAGTATTCTAACCATTCGCGGGTTTTGTGGCCATTGAAGATCCGTCACACCTGGAACACGTTTCATCCATCTACAAAATAAACTCAGTTGAAAGTACTGCTGGCTTCATTTTAGGTACGTCATAATAGGCATTCGGTTTGAACTGAAAGCATTGTCGGCTTCATGGTATAGTAAGAGCAGCTTTGGGGGCCTTTTCCAGCCCCGGTTTGCTTCGTAACCATAGGAATGACAGCTGTGGCAGATATTTCGAGTCGCCTTATGCATTTTTCCCCATTCCATTTCCGTTTAAAGTATTTCGCTTCATGAAAACCGCTTGACTACTTCAAACTAATCGAGTGGCTAACTTGAACTAGTCTCAAATTAAATCGAGAAAATAAGTGCTGTGACGACGACACGTCTTAAGAAGTTATAACATCTAGCGACGTTTCCTGCTAGACGGGACTTTTCTGAGAAACAAGATTCTGGTAGCACTGGTTTAAACGGGAGGATTCCTAAAAAAACAGAGCCGCTGGAAGGGAAGTCCCGCCTAGCTACGGAAACGATGTACCGGCTAGGCGGGATTTTTTGAAACCTCGCTGAAAATGTTTCGGCTGAAGCTCTGTGCCGGGTAGATATCAACCTATCAGACGAAAGTTCTACTTCTGAAGGATCACGTTATCCCAATCTAAGCGATAATCGATTACTGTTTGGCTTTCAAATCTTTGTAGTAAAAGGAAATGGTAACATAGCTACGTGGTTTACCTGGAAATGTGCGGATTTTGAGAATTGTCCCTTTCGACGTCCAGTCCCTCGTAGCGGAAATATATGTGATTGGTGTTAACGGAAGAAGGTGGCAGAGGCCTTGAAGTGCCTGTATTGAAAGAAAGAGACTTATGTTACAATAAGATTTATGTTACAATAAGATTTATGTTACAATAAGCTTGATGTTGCAAAGAGACATTAAGAAAAATTTATGCTTTGGGATTTTTGCCACTCTCATAGTTGTTGCCAGCTTTTTGAATGGAATCAGGATATAACTAAATAAAAAACTCAGTGCACTTTTTTTTGTTATTTCACCTAAGAAAAGTTCACGTTTTTCGAACAAAATTTTATTAATTTTATTAATATTTATTTTAACAAAGTCTTGCTTCGAGATTAGCTTTAACGTGGTATTTATAGCAAAATTTCGCGTGCAAAGTTTTTTTTTAAATCATTTTTTGATCTAACATTTCAAATTATTTTCATCAAATAATTTAGGATTCTTTTCCACCCAAATTTAAATTTGCAGAAACTGAAACAGGAAGTATTTGTAGGTAAACTGCATCTTCCTTTCTTATTAACTACTGAGTGCAATGTAAATTAATTTTGACTTCTTGAATACTTGTTCTCGCTTCTGTATTTACTATAACTTCGTAACTGTTACAACCAATTGATTTCGATAACCTGTTTAAAATAATTAGCAAGTTGATATTATTTCTCATTCTCTCTATATTAGAAAACAGTAATCAAATTATACAAAAAAAATTTAATTAATTTTTTTAAAAAAATATTTCTCATAATTTATTTTAAAAAGTGTGAAAAGGTTTAGGTTTAATGGTCGCCCAAAAGGGCATTTTTGAAGTTTAGTGTGGTTTATCATAAACTCCTGTTGAAATTATCAAGATGAAATAGCCAGTTCCAGATGAAATAGCGAAACGTTTTATGGGATACTAGAAGAATATGCTTTTAAACTAACATGGGAACGTTATATATCTTCTGTATGTTTTAAAAATTAAAAAATATATAACTTCGTTCTATAAAAATATTGAATGTTTTTAATAAGATATATTATAAATGAAATGCATTTTTATTTAAATCAATAAGATTAAAAAGAAAAAATAATATTCTTAAGAACTATTGATTGATCTCATATGTTTTATTTTGTTAATCAATAACAGACAGATTCAATTTCAAAGATAAATATCGTGCATTTTGACAGACTAGACTTAAAAGTGAACAACGCATTTTATAGCGGATGACGCAAATTCGCATTTCGAGTATAATATTCCTTTTCGGCTTACAAAAATATTTCTTTAACGCACATTATAAAAGGATACAATATATTATTCGTTTAGCTGTAATCGTTCCAAATTAAGAACATTTATAAAAACATCGTTAAATTCAATTAAATGTTTTGCGTCTTCATTTATTTTATTAATTGTTTTATTTCAACTACCAATTGAAAGGAATTATTTTTCAGTAATTTTTTATAATGAAAAAGAATATAAATATAATTTGTAATTGTTGCAATAGATAAATAATTGCAGTAAATAATTGATCATTATTTTTTGCAAATAGACGTTTTTAAGCATGTTTCCTTTCTTTTTAAAATTTCTGACTTAAAGAATAATGTTTTAGATGTTAGACTTACATTAAAAGTTAGGCTTTAGTTAGAAGTTAAACTAGTGTGCTACAATGTTAACTGTACGTATTCATGTACACATCGAATCATATTCATTGATCGTCGTATAACTTCTACTCAATGAATAAAATGTAGAAACAAAAAATTAAGTTTCTTTCAGGAGAGTTAGTTAAATTAAGTTCTATGTACACCTAAAAGGAAAATGTATAAAAACATTTCAATATCAATGAAATCAGTTCATTCTTTTAAAGCAACAACCAATTCATAAATCATTTTATGTTGCCAAACCAGAAAACAAAAACTTTTGACAGTTCAGGTTAATGCGTATACGTATGACGTCATGATTTATAAATTTAATGTAATATAACGACTTTTCTCAATATCAAAAAAAGAATTAACGTGGCAATAATACACTGTGTCAATTATCTTAATCTGAAACAAAAAAGTTGCCAATAGCACCCTGCTAAAAATGCCCCGTAGAAACACACATTTTTTTTACGGGGAATTGGTCTAGGGGTACCCGTACAGCTCTGCAGGTACCCGTAGCCCAATTACGCGCAAAAAACCACAAACGGAAACCCGTCCATGTACGGGTACCCGTAAGCCAAATCCCCGTAAAAACCCATAGAAAGAAACCCGTACAACCGTACGGGTACCCGTAGACCAAATCCCCGTAAAAACCCATAAACAGAAACCCGTATAGCTGTACGGGTGCCCATAGGCTAAATGCCCGTAAAAAAAACCTATAAACAGAAACCCGTACAACTGTGCAGATAAGAGTAGGCCAAATCTCCGTAAAAACCCATAGAAACCTGTAGAACTGTAGGCACCATAAACAAAATCCCAGTAAAAACCCATAGCCAGAAATCAGAACTTTATGCGTTTACATAGGTCAAATCTCCTTAAAAAAATGCATAGGAAAAAGAGATCATATTTTCATTCTATTAATTTTATTGTTTACAAGAAGTCTATTAACGTCAGATAGAAAATTAGCATAAACCCATATAAACCAACTGAAGATTTATTTTTATATTGATATCAGTAAAAGTCAATATAAACCAATATAAACCAGATAAAAGTTTTGACATTGATGTTGGTTGTATGGGTGTCAAGTGATACCAGTAAGAAAAACCCACGGAGACCAACAGAAACCAGTAAAAGTCAATAGAAAACCCATAAAACGTTATGGGTACCCATTTAAAAGTTTTACTGGTTTCTATGGGGCATTTTTAGCAGAGCAGCTATTTGTTTAAAAGGATGACATTAGCAAAACATTTTCGACATGACGTCCCATGAAATCGCGTGCTTTCTTCAACGCCAGAACATCGCTTTATATAAATGTCTGGCTATGTTATTTTTAATTCATATTTTGTAATACTTATACATTGTTTATTAACAAGCTCTATGATCTGAAAGCGAGCAGTGGCAACACTTTTCGAAATAGAGCAGATTTATATTTCCAGCGTGCCAGACTGCTGCCACTCGGAAAACTGAGACGGGGAAAATTAGCGTTTTCGAAGTTTTAATTAATATCTCGGCTGATTATAAAATCGTACGAAGATGAGAATGGTCGAAATGGCTTCCCACGAATTTTTTGGAATCCAGGGTACCTCTCTCGAAATTTAACTCCCCGCCGTTCCGGAGGATGATAATGTCAGAAACAAACAGACAAACGATCATAGATTATAATAATATAGATAACTTTAAATAACTTCTTTTAATAATTTGTAACTTCTTTTTTATACTCCATTTTCATCTTTTACACTTCTTTTTGACACTTCACTTTTCCTTTTCAGTACTTCATCTTTCTTATTTTTATACTTTTTTCCGAGGTTATTTTTTATATTTCATTTCATTCTTCTTTTTTGTATATAGTTCAGGTTCTTCTTTATACTCCAATTGTTAGTAATTTAAAAAATCATTAGTTCAAAGAGTAAAACTGCTTCGTAGAAAATGTTCATTCAGTTAAAAAGGAGGGAAAAAAAAAAAAAAAAGAGTTGTCGAAATAACGGAAATTTTAAAATACAAAATTTTAAATTTATTCTTGCTTCTCCATTTTTAAAATTTAGAATTCGAAAAGTGAGTCATATATTACACATTTTAAATACCACAGGAAGATCTGTGATACTCCTTGAATGTGGAATCGTCGGGCACATGCATTATTTGCCATTGTGGAAAATAAAGTCTTGCTTATAATAGTCGAGCAGTTTGTCTAGACAAGGATTTCTCAACCGGGAGGGAGGGAGAAGTTTCTCTTTGGGAAGAGTTTCAGATGGAAATGCGATCAGCCTTTTATTTACGTGTTAAGTATTTAGTTTTACTTTATGAATATGAAAAACTACTTTTCTTTAAATTTTGGTATTTATTAATATTTTCTCAATTTTTTTTTCTAGTTTAATATATGAAATACCTTGAAAAATATTCTAAATTTAGGTAAGTGTTTGTGCATTTTCCGAGTTTTAAAATGGGGGAGAACGATCATCTAGTAATGGTGAAAAGGGTGCTTGGAACACAAACATTTGAGAAGCCCTGGTCTAAGTACTTCTCAGGACAAAGTGTTCATGTCGGAATACTTAGAATACTAATTACAATATGTTATATTGTTAAAGGATAACGAATTTATTAGTCCAAAGGAGCATTTTGCCAAGAAAAACCATTTATTTCGTTTTATTTTATTTATTTCGTTCGTGAAAAAACAACGGTAACTAAAGACATCAAATTTTGAATAATCCAGTCCTCCCCTCGCGTATGGGCATCTGCAAGCCCAAATTTGGAATCTGTTTTATTATCTATTTCGTATTTTATAAAACTTTAAAGAATTTTTGATTAACAAACTCAACGACTGCGAAGCGAGCAATGGCAACACTGTAACAATTTTATCTCCACCGCGCGAGACTGTGTCTCGGAAATGTGAAAGATATACTCTTTTTAAATATTCTGTGATATTGCTGTTGAATTGAATTTTATGATTTAAGTTATTTAATAAATACAGTAACACAAAAAGCGCAAAAAAACCCTTTGCGCGTAATATAAAATCTAAAAGCCTTCAGATTATTTTTTTTTTATTTTGGTCGGTAATAATTAAATAAATTTTAAGTACTGAGATCCGAAATTTAATTGTCATTGCAGCATTGTTAAAGAAAATTTATTATTCTTCGAGCTCAGCTACGCATACCTTTCTCAGCTTCATTAAAGAGTATTTGCACTGTTTTCTGTTCCTCTAGAACACACCCACAATGGACAAAAGAATTAAAATTGAAAAAGAAGCTGACGAAAGGGAATATGAGGAAAGGCAGAATCGGGAGACGCAAAGTCAGTCTGAAGAAGAAAATTTTCCTTGGGGGACAACGCAAGTGAAGCGCGAGAACACTCCAAATGTCGAGGCTAGCCTCGATGATCTCTTTGAGGAATTTTCTGTCTTCGGAGACCGTTGGAATGAAGAGAAGAACATTTCGCTGCGGAACGTTGACAAATGGTTCGCCCAGGCTCAGCTGTTCGATGGAATTGTCACCAACGCTGATACGGCCATCGAGTTTTCCAAAATTGCTCGGTAAGCAATAGTGTTCATAGCAGTTATGATGCTTTTAATGGCACAGCATTAACCACCCACAGCACTGAAACGATATAACCTATAACGATATAAACGAAGTTAAGATAACGAATTATTGACCAGAATAAAACTAAATTGTTGATCAAATATAAAGAAATAGACCATTAACTTCATTATAAGTTCGCCCTCAGGGGGCTCACTTTTGTGAGTACGGGTGTGGCAATCCTGAGGTATCCTAGCCCTTCAGGGGATCATCTTCTTGATGAGACGGGTGTCACGATCCTGGAGCCCCAGTGATCTATCCTCTTTTCCATCTCCTCTCCTCTTAACTGGAACTTTTCTCCTTCCCTTCTCCCTTGTGGTTTCTCTCTACGGAGTTTGGGGCTCGTCACGAGAAACTGGAACAACCCTTGCGTCCAATTTTCAAATGGCGAGAAAACTGCCCACGTGTTTGCCGTGCGTGGAGACCCGTGTCGCTGGAAAGGAGGGTCTTGGTAGTTGAGGGGCGAGGTACTGTCCCCAACACACTGCTTTGGCCTCTGCTTCAGCTAAACGGGAGGCACCTTAGTCGTCCTCACGGGTGTCAATCGGCTGGTCACTAGTCCTTGTGTCAGTGGCTTGGGGTCAAGCTCTCGGGAGTACTGCTTTCGGGAAAGCCGACTGTGGGGCTTCAGTTTGCGTATAGGTCCGGCTAGCCCTAACACAGTAATCTGTGTTCCCTTGTTGGGCTCCGTGGTGGGCGGGGCCGTCGGACCCGAATCTTTTCTTTCTTAAATATGGCTTCTATGTTTCTCCTCAAATCAAATGAAAACGACCAAAGTATTGAAATAATTGATAAATCTCTTACTAAGAAAATACGTACCGATGCAAATGCCAAAGTAATCACTGATAATCCACGCTTCCTTGTAGTCTCGAGTCCCTCTGGTGAACTGCAAAAGATGTCCCCTTTCGTTGTAAGCAAATATATCCGTTCTTGCATAGGTGAACCAAAGAACACAAAGCGTCTCCGTTCTGGAGATCTGCTTATAGATACTGTCTCACCAACCCAATCTGCTTCCCTTTTGTCACAAAACCAAACTTGGAAATGTAGCTATAACTGTGTCAGCGCATAAAACTCTGAATTATTGTAGAGGTGTTATCTCGGAAATCGACCTTCTGTGTGTTTCAGAAGAAGAGTTCGTTTCCGAGTTAGCTGACCAAAAAGTCTGTGGTGTTAGGCGGATCAAGATGCGTAAGGAAAGTCAGTTGACTGACACTAAACACGTGATCCTGACCTTCAAATCGCCTGATCTGCCGAAAAATATTAAGGCTGGATATATAAACTGCCCCGTAAGGCCTTATATTCCAAACCCCATGCGATGCTTCCAGTGCCAGCGTTTTGGCCCTGACGTCCTTTCGTTTCCAAGATGTCCTTTCGTGGGACCCTGACGTGCGCTCGATGCTCGTCGGTTGGCCACGATAGCGAAAATTGCACCGCTGCAGCACTGTGTATAAATTGCAAGGGCAACCATCCAGCATTCTCTCGTTCCTGTCCGAAATGGAAATTAGAAAAGGAAGTGCAGACCATAAAAGTTTCCAGGAACATTTCGTATGCCGAAGCCAGAAGACAAGTTCAAAGCACACAGCCTATATCAAACAAATCATATGCCAATGCCGTAAAATCAACCCGCACAATAGCCACCCAAACTTCCATAAGTACACAGACTCCACCAAATAAAAACCAGCAGCCTGCAAGCAAGAACAAAGAAAATCCAACATATATCATACAAAATAAAGAAATAGCAATCCCGAGCAAACCCAAAACTGTGCCTCCAAAAATAGAAACCAAAAATAGAAGTCCCAGCAAGAGTTCTGCAAATGAAATTATTCCTGAATCTGCAGATTCAGACAGTATGGAAGTGGAAGACGGTCTAGAAGTTCCCGATCATCTGCTTCCGCGCAAAACTAAAAAGGAACACAGGAACAAAAAACATCAATCATAATGGCCACCCTCGTCTGATGGAACTGTCGCGGTTTCCACCGAAATTTGCTTGACATCAAATCTATAATAAATGCGTATCATCCTGTGTGCTTAGCTATACAGGAAACAAATCTGAAACCTGAACAACATGCAAAATTCGGAGGTTGCTATAGTCAGAAAGGATAACCTGCAGGTGAGCGTGCCAGTGGAGGTGTAGGTCTCTCTCCTCATGGATTATCCCTCAAATGTACTTTCTTTGACGACATCCCTCCAAGTTGTCGCTACTCAAACAATTTTGATATTGTTGTTACAGTCGTTTCTCTATATTTGCCTCCAAATGAGCATATTGATCAGCAAGATTTAAATGGTCTTTTAGAGCAGCTGCCTGAGCCTTTCATCATAATAGGGATTTTAACGGCCATAGTCCGCTCTGGGGTAGTAAAGATACAAATTGCCGAGGAAGACAATTGAGCAGATGATCGAAGATCATAGCCTTTGTTCCTGAATAATCGGCAGGATACTTACTTCCATGAGCCTACAAAGACATTCCATGCTCTCGACCTTGCCATTGTTCACCATCTCTGTTGCCTTATTGCACATTTAATGTGGGAAAAGATCTTTACAACAGTGATTATCCCATTTTTGTGCTCTTGCACGAAGAAGAGCAAATCCCATGACGAGACACCGGTTTATACTGGACAGGGCAGACTGGGAAACTCTTCTCTTCCATTGCAGAGCTCACAGATCAAATGGTAGAAGGGGGGCATATCGATGACGCTGTTGAAGCTGTTACTATACTATTATCAGGGCCAGCTATGCTCTCCATTCCTAGAACATCAGGAAAACTACTAAAATATTCAAAACCATGGTGGAAACGCGACTTGTAATGAATCACTGAAAAAACAGAAAAAAAGCATGGGGTATTTTCGTAGATATCCTACTCTGCGAAACCTCATAGCCTTTAAAAGAGCCAAAGCAAATGCACGAAAAGTAAGAAGGCAGAGCCAGAGGGATTCCTGGATTTCATATGTGTCCTCAATAACATCCTCTACACCTAGTAAGCGAGTTTGGGAAAGAGTTCGAAAAGCATGCGGAATGTATAAAGACCACTCACTTTCCTTTCTGGAAAAAGATGGCCGTGTGATTAGCTCCATAGAAGAAAGTGCAAATACTATTGGTGAGACATTTGCTGCCGTTTCTTCCAGCCAAAATTACTCACCTGCATTTCTTTCTATCAAGCAACGCTCTGAGAAAAATCCCATCGCTTTCAACTCTTCCAAATATGAGCCGTACAACAGAGACTTTACTATGGTTGAATTAAGGAGAGCTTTGTTGCAGACACATAGGTCTTGTCCTGGGTCTTGATGGCGTGTAATTATGAAATGCTTAAGCATCTGTCCTGTAAGTCACTGAATGCCCTTCTCACACTTTACAATAGAGTGTGGAAGGAGCGTACATTTCCCAGTGCATGGAGGAAGCTGTTGTCATTCCTATTGGGAAGCCAGGGAAAGACCCAGGAATCCCTCGAACTATCGGCCAATTGCCCTTACTAGTTGTGTTTGCAAACTGTTTGAAAAGATGGTAAACAGCCCGCCTAGTCTACTTCTTGGAAAAGAATAATATTATATCGCCTTATCAAAGTGGTTTTCGAAAGGGGAAGCAACAACCGTAGATAACATGCTCCTCTAGAGACATCCATTCGAAAGCATTTGTAAGAAGAAGCCACCTTGTCTCCGTATTCTTCGACATTGAGAAAGCTTATGATAAGGCATGGAGATACGGTATACTTCCGGGATCTTCACGAGAGTGGCTTGCGCGGCAACCTACCAATTTTCATTCAGAATTCTTGAACGTAGAACTTTTCAAGTAAGGATTTGGCTCTGTTTTTCGGATGTTTTTCAACAGGAAGAGGGGTGCCTCAAGGCTGTGTGCTCAGTGTAACCCTGTTCATTTTAAAAATAAACCTGTACTAAAAGAACTTCCTCCCACCATCTTGGGATCTCTATATGTTGATGATCTGCAGATTAGCTGTCGAGGGGCAGACATGAGATACGTAGAGAGGCAGTTGCAGATAGCTCTGAGTAAGATCCAAGAATGGTTAAACAAACAGGGATTTACTTTTTCCAAACAAAAAAACTGTATGCGTGCACTTTTGTAGGAAGCGAGGTCTCCATCTTGAACCTGAGTTGTATCTGAATGGTACAATTATTCGAGTTGCGCCCGAAGTAAAATTTTTAAGAGTGACTTTCGACCGAAAATTGACTTTCCTTTCTCATGTTTTAAACGAGAGAAAGGAGTGTTTAAAAAAACTAAATTTTTTAAAAGTGTTGGCGAACACCTCCTGGGGCATGCTTCGTATTTACAGAGCGTTTGTCCGCTCTAGACTGGACTATGGCTTAGTTGTTTACAGATCCACTCGCTCATCAGTATTGTTAGAACTGGATCCTGTTCACCATCAAGCTCTGCGGATTTGTTCTGGAGCTTTCAGGACTTTCCCTGTCCAGAGCCTGTATGCTGACACTAATGAAACATCACTTTATCTGAGGCGTGAGCAATTGTCCCTTTTGCAATATTTTTATTCTATCTCAACCTGAAATCCCAATAAGCTGTGCTTACGTGATAATGAGTGTAAACACATTATTTGAAACACGTCCATCCTGTGTTCCTACTTTCCTTTAAGAGTTCGCCTGTCATTGAGGAACTCTTCCTCTCTGATATTGCACCCCCAAGCAGTACAGAATTTGAAATTCCACCTTGGGAAAATTCACGGATCAGCTTCTTGATGTTTTCAAACATCACGTAAAGGCGAGCACTAACGAGATCGTTTACAAACAACTTTTGCTGAGCACAGGCACAATATAGCAGTTATTATCCGATATACACAGATGGATCAAAGTCAAATGATCATGTCGGGATGGCTTTTGTATTTGAAGATTACATTGAGAGCAGATGCCTGCCATGCTTTTTCAGTCCAATCTGAACTAACTGCAATATATTATGGTCTTTTTTACATCTCAAAGCTCTGCCACAAAAAGTTCCT